GAGGACATTGAAGAGTCGTGGTCCATTAACATTAATTGAGTCCTCTCTCAGTGTACTTATCACTTCCGTACTTTTTTTTATTGGAAGTATCCAGCACCGTCTGCCACGTCTCTTGTGTCCTTATGAAATTATTTCAGTGTGCAGGTCTGGGGCCAATCCTTTCATCTTCCAGGTGTAGATTATGAAGTTTCTTTCTCGTCTACGTTGTAAGCAGTTCAGTTATAGGGAGTTCAAGTACTCATAGTAATTAAGCTGCTTGACTGTGTTTATACAAGGTTCTCTCTGCATTTTGCAGCTCAGTAATGTTTGCTGCCTTGAAGGTGGCCGGTAATACACATCAAGACTCCAGCCTAGAAAGAACGAGTAACTTGACTTTTATCACTGGTTTACCATCCCTTGTTTCGAAGGTTCTAGTTATCCAGCCTATCATTTTTCTTTAAGCTACATAATATCATTGTTGTGCTCCTTGAACTTGAGATCTTATGACATTATCACTCCCAGGTCTCTCACATTTTACTTACGTTCTATTGAGTGGTTTGAGTGTGTCTTGTACTGTGATTTTGTTTTAATTTCCTCAGTCTTTCCTTGACGTAGTAACTAAAATATATCTTCATTGTCTTCACGTCACTTGTATTACACTACATTTGAAACTTCACGTTTACACGGCTTTTAATACAGTATAGCGGAATGGGAGGCGAATGTGAGGGTGTTTATATTATGTAGGTACCAGTACGGAGGAAAAAGAGGAGGAGGAAGAGGAGGAGGAGGAAGAGGATAAGGAGGAAGAGGAGATAATGAAGCTAAGTGGAAAAGTATGGAAGTGACAGCAGTTATACCAACAATAACTACTCGGCGAAGCTCCCAGCAAAACGTTCAAGTGTTCCTTGTAACTGGTTATGTCAACACGACGGAGCAGCTGTGTTGTGTGTGGTTGTTGGTGTTGCTGACAGTGTGCGACAACCACACATTGCTACCTCAACAACCACCACTATCACCACCACCACCATCTCAACATCCACTTGGTCTCCCTTCTACTCCACCACCTGTTACTACTAACTAGACATCATTTTCAGTGTTTAGTTAGATCGAATATAACGTTTAGTGTGGAGTATATATAGTATTATATATATATATATATATATATATATATATATATATATATATATATATATATATATATATATATATATATATATATATATATCAACAAGTCGGCCGTCTCCCACCGAGGCAGGGTGACCCAAAAAAGAAAGAAAATCCCCAAAAAGAAAATACTTTCATCATCATTCAACACTTTCACCACACTCACACATTATCACTGTTTTTGCAGAGGTGCTCAGAATACAACAGTTTAGAAGCATATACGTATAAAGATACACAACATATCCCTCCAAACTGCCAATATCCCAAACCCCTCCTTTAAAGTGCAGGCATTGTACTTCCCATTTCCAGGACTCAAGTTCGACTATATGAAAATAACCGGTTTCCCTGAATCCCTTCGCTAAATATTACCCTGCTCACACTCCAACAGATCGTCAGGTCCCAAGTACCATTCGTCTCCATTCACTCCTATCTAACACGCTCACGCACGCTTGCTGGAAGTCCAAGCCCCTTGCCCACAAAACCTCCTTTACCCCCTCTTTCCAACCCTTTCGAGGACGACCCCTACCCCGCCTTCCTTCCCCTATAGATTTATATGCTTTCCATGTCATTCTACTTTGATCCATTCTCTCTAAATGACCAAACCACCTCAACAACCCCTCTTCTGCCCTCTGACTAATACTTTTATTAACTCCACACCTTTTCCTAATTTCCACACTCCGAATTTTCTGCATAATATTTACACCACACATTGCCCTTAGACAGGACATCTCCACTGCCTCCAACCGTCTCCTCGCTGCTGCATTTACCACCCAAGCTTCACACCCATATAAGAGTGTTGGTACTACTATACTTTCATACATTCCCTTCTTTGCCTCCATAGATAACGTTTTTTGACTCCACATATACCTCAACGCACCACTCACCTTTTTTCCCTCATCAATTCTATGATTAACCTCATCCTTCATAAATCCATCCGCCACACGTCAACTCCCAAGTATCTGAGAACATTCACTTCTTCCATACTCCTCCTCCCCAATTTGATATCCAATTTATCTTTATCTAAATCATTTGACACCCTCATCACCTTACTCTTTTCTATGTTCACTTTCAACTTTCTACCTTTACACACATTCCCAAACTCATCCACTAACCTTTGCAATTTTTCTTTAGAATCTCCCATAAGCACAGTATCATCAGCAAAAAGTAACTGTGTCAATTCCCATTTTGAATTTGATTCCCCAAAATTTAATCCCACCCCTCTCCCGAACACCCTAGCATTTACTTCCTTTACAACCCCATCTATAAATATATTAAACAACCATGGTGACATTACACATCCCTGTCTAAGACCTACTTTTACCGGGAAGTAGTCTCCCTCTCTTCTACACACCCTAACCTGAGCCTCACTATCCTCATAAAAACTCTTTACAGCATTTAATAACTTACCACCTCTTCCATATACTTGCAACATCTGCCACATTGCTCCTCTATCCACTCTATCATATGCCTTTTCTAAATCCATAAATGCAATAAAAACTTCACTACCTTTATCTAAATACTGTTCACATATATGCTTCAATGTAAACACTTGATCTACACATCCCCTACCCACTCTGAAACCTCCTTGCTCATCCGCAATCCTACATTCTGTCTTACCTCTAATTCTTTCAATTATAACCCTACCGTACACTTTTCCTGGTATACTCAGTAAACTTATTCCTCTATAATTTTTACAGTCTCTTTTGTTCCCTTTCCCTTTATATAAAGGGACTATACATGCTCTCCGCTAATCCCTAGGTACCTTCCCCTCTTTCATACATTTATTAAACAAAAGTACCAACCACTCCAACACTATATCCCCCCCTGCTTTTAACATTTCTGTCATGATCCCATCAGTTCCAGCTGCTTTACCCCCTTTCATTCTACGTAATGCCTCACGTACCTCCCCCACACTTACATTCTGCTCTTCTTCACTCCTAAAAGATGGTATACCTCCCTGACCAGTGCATGAAATTACTGCCTCTCTTTCTTCCTTAACATTTAAAAGTTCCTCAAAATATTCTCGCCATCTACCTAATACCTCCATCTCCCCATCTACTAACTCCCCTACTCTGTTTTTAACTGACAAATCCATACTTTCCCTAGGCTTTCTTAACTTGTTTAACTCACTCCAAAATTTTTTCTTATTTTCATTAAAATTTCTTGACAGTGCCTCTCCCACTCTTTCATCTGCTCTCCTTTTGCACTCTCTCACCACTCTCTTTACCTTTCTTTTACTCTCCATATACTCTGCTCTTCTTATAACACTTCTGCTTTGTAAAAACCTCTCACAAGCTACCTTTTCTCTTTTTATCACACCCTTTAACTTCATCATTCCACCAATCACTCCTCTTTCCTCCTGCCCCCACCCTCCTATAACCACAAACTTCTGCCCCACATTCTAATACTGCATTTTTAAAACTATTCCAACCTTCTTCAACCCCCCCTCCCCCTCCACTACTCATCTTTGCACTAGCCCACCTTTCTGCCAATAGTCGCTTATATCTCACCCGAACTTCCTCCTCCCTTAGTTTATACACTTTCACCTCCCTCTTACTTGTTGTTTCCACCTTCCTCTTTTCCCATCTACCTCTTACTCTAACTGTAGCTACAACTAAATAATGATCCGATATATCAGCTACCCCTCTATAAACATGTACATCCTGGAGCCTACCCATCAACCTTTTATCCACCAATACATAATCTAATAAACTACTTTCATTACGTGCTATATCTTACCTTGTATATTTATTTATCCTCTTTTTCATAAAATATGTATTACTTATTACCAAATTTCTTTCTACACATAGCTCAATTAAAGGCTCCCCATTTACATTTACCCCTGGCACCCCAAATTTACCTACTACTCCCTCTATAACATTTTTACCCACTTTAGCATTGAAATCCCCAACCACCATTACTCTCACACTTGATTCAAAACTCCCCACGCATTCACTCAACATTTCCCAAAATCTCTCTCTCTCTCCTCTACACTTCTCTCTTCTCCAGGTGCATACATGCTTATTATAACCCACTTTTCACATCCAATCTTTATTTTACTCCACATAATCCTTGAATTAATACATTTATAGTCCCTCTTTTCCTGCCATAGCTTATCCTTCAACATTATTGCTACTCCTTCTTTAGCTCTAACTCTATTTGAAACCCCTGACCTAATCCCATTTATTCCTCTCCACTGAAACTCTCCCACCCCCTTCAGCTTTGTTTCACTTAAAGCCAGGACATCCAGCTTCTTCTCATTCATAACATCCACAATCATCTCTTTCTTATCATTTGCACAACATCCACGCACATTCAGACTTCCCACTTTGACAATTTTCTTCTTATTCTTTTTAGTAATCTTTACAGGAAAAGGGCTTACTAGCCCATTGTTCCCGGCATTTTAGTTGACTTTTACAACACGCATGGCTTACGGAGGAAAGATTCTTATTCCACTTCCCCATGGATATAAAAGGAAAAGTAATAAGACCAAGAACTATTAAGATAAAATCAAAGAAAACTCAGATGAGTGTGTATAAATAAATGTGTATATGTATGTGTAGTGTGACCTAAGTGTAAGTAGAAGTAGCAAGACATACCTGTAATTTTGCATATTTATGAGACAGACATCAGCAATCCTACCATCATGTAAAACAATTACAGGCTTTCGTTTTACACTCACTTGGCAGGACGGTAGTACCTCCCTGGGCGGTTGCTGTCTACCAATCTACTACCTATATATATATATATATATATATATATATATATATATATATATATATATATATATATATATAAAGTAGAGAGAGAGAGAGAGAGAGAGAGCGAGAGAGAGAGAGAAAGAACAAGATACTCACCTGGATACATATCAGCGTTGGAGGAGAAGAGGACACATAGTCCGGTCTCATAGTTGACAGCCATGCAGGACTTGTTGTTCTTGCACATGTTGATGCAATCCGTGAGCATGAGAGTCCCTGGCTGAGAGTCCAGCATGTCTGCTGGTGCTGAGTAAACGTGACCTGTCACCAGCTCGAACGATATCTGCAACATTGACCGTGCAGTCCAGGTTAGGTTGGGTTTGTAGAGATCATGTTAAGTTAGGTTTTGCAGGTGTGGCAAGTTAGATTGGTAAAAGTTATACCTGGCAATGTTATGTATATGAGGGAAGGTAATGGGAAAGACAGGTTAGGGAAGGATATGCTTGGGAGGTTATATTATGTTGGGTGAGGGAAGCTTAGGGTAAGTTAGAGAAAGGTATGTTAGGTTAGGTTAGGTGAAAAACGGTTAGGGTAGGTGAGGGGAAGGCTAAAGGTGTTTAGCGTAGGTTAGGTTAGGTTAGATTAAGTTAGGTTAGGTTAGGTTAGATTAAGTTAGGTTAGGTTAGGTTAGATTAAGTTAGGTTAGGTTAGGTTAGGTTACGGTAGGTTGGGTTAGGTAAAAGGGCACAAGCGCAATTAATGCGACATTTTATTTTGGCAACGTTTCGCTCCCCAGGAGCTTTGTCAAGCTGGTAACGGCTTGGTGGTAGTAGTAGTAGTAACAGTAGTAGTAGTAGTAGTATAGTAGTAGTAGTAGTAGTAGTAGCAGTAGTAATAATAGTGGCAGAACTACTAAAAGTATTTGTAGTAACATCAAAAGAAGCAATAATAGCCGATAGATTGATAACAGAAACAGTTAAATTAGTGGTAGAAGTTGAGAGAGAAATGAGAGAGAGAGAGAGAGAGAGAGAGAGAGAGAGAGAGAGAGAGAGAAGAGAGAGAGAGAGAGAGAGAGAGAGAGAGAGAGTTCCCTCACTCGCCTGGCTGGGCGGACATGTGGTGAGTTGAGCGCTGGTGGACTCAAAGTCTTCGTCGAAGGCTGGGGGGCCTGCGAGGGTAGGTATAATGAGTGCGGGCTGCTCGACGTCGTCCTGGGCTAGAGCCCAGCCAGATAAGGCTACAAGACAGGCCAGGTACGGCACTAGGCGGAACGCTGACATCTTCACTACCATGAACATACTTTGCCCCTGCCAAGGAAAAAAAAAACAGGGTATTTAAAAGTTTGTCCTTGTCTCCTAGACTCAAGTTTTTACAGTAAATCTTTGAATTATTATTATAATTATTATTATTATTATTATTATTATTATTATTATTATTATTATTATTATTATTATTATTATTATTGCTTTTATCATTTTATTTCCACTATCAACAACACCATTATCATCAGGTATCCCAGGATGGGAACACTTAGTATTTGCCTGAACCATTTTCTTTCCTCATCCGATTGGCTTCAAAATTTCAAGTCTGGAGTACGGTAACTAGACGCAGACTCTAGAAGCAATTGTTATGTTCACGAGTCCTAATGACCAAAAGTCGTAGGGACCGCTCCTAGCATCCTGGAACGTCTCTAATGACTTCACACACACACACACACACACACACACACACACACACACACACACAAGGTTGAGAATCCTGATGATGGGTCCTTCGTGACGGGATGACTTGATCTGTAATCACCTCAGAGCAAAGCAGGAACATCACCCTCACCACAACGTGAAAACCCATTACTTGTTCCAATCTTCCTTGCGCCACTAGCTGCTCCTAATGTACCAACATAGATGAACACAGAGCTGGTGTTCATTAAGGCGTGAACAGATCTGATTTTCACTCTGAGTCTTATGATCGAGGCGAAATATACAAAACGCGTGAGTATTTTTTTCATGATAGCTTAATTACCTCTACACGGACACATGTGCAGCTCATGAGATATTTTATTGTTTCAACGTTTCGCTAGGAGCGTTGGCTCCTGGAGAGCGAAACGTTGCCACAATAAAAATGTTGCATTACTTGCGCGGGTGTCCATTTTACTTACAAATTAGTCAGTGTGGGTTATGATAAAGTTCCTTGTGGAAGAAATGTCTCTGGAGTAAAATGTCATAACCAAGAGTTTGTCTACATTCTGGGCTCTAGTTGCCATTTGTAAAAAATGTATGATGAAAATTTCTGGGGGTGTGTTTTATTGTATGGCGTTGTGATTGGAGAGGAAGTGTATGCGGGAGAAGAACCTTGTGAAAAAACTTGGAAATTAAATGCCAGTCTACGGAAGATGAAGTGAATCACCGAATACATTAGCGGGAAAATGCAGCAAAAATATTGCGGAATTTGTAGAAAGTTTAACAATGGATTTTTAAAAAAAGGGGAGGAATATATCTGATTACAGTTGTGCCAAAACTTTTTTTTTTTTGGTATTGGTATGAGTTATGGTATTTTAATGTTGCAACGAAGAGGAGGAGGAGGAGGAGGAGGAGGAGGAGGCTGGTGGGAACGTAGAAGTCGTGTTTAAAAGTGGAACGAAGGCATTCACAGACGATGTAGTGATATTAAAAGTATTATTCGGTGAGTATAAGAGAGTTGCTGAGATAGTTTGGTCATGTAGACAGGATGGAGCAAGATAACTTGATTACGAGTCTGTACAAATTAAGAGTGGATGGGAGGTGTTGGAGACGTACCAGGAAGAGACGGAAGGAAGGCGTGAGGGTTCTGAGATGTGGGGACTTGAGAACCCGCCAGACGTGGGTGAGCATGTTAGATCGGAATAAGTAGAGAAAAGTGATTTCTGGGGAAATTTGACGTGCTGTTGGAGTGTCAGCAAGGTAATAGCTGTGAAGGGATTCATGGTATCCAATTAACTGCTTTTATATTAAAAGTCGGAAAGGTTACTGCATCTGGGAAACAGAGTGAAAATGGTCTCTGTATTTCCAAACTTTAAACAGAGTGTAGAAACATTGTCCTGAGTAATGATCACTGGTGACTACGCATGGGCAAGCCAGTCATCGTGAGGACAGTGGACCATGTATAGCGACCACTAAACCACATACAGCAACCACTGAACCACATACAGCAACCACTGAACCACATACAGCAACCACTGAACCACAATACAGCCTTGCCCATCACAGATGCAACTACACCCAACCAATCGAACTCCCCCCCCCCCCAAAAAAAAAATAGTTTTGCAGATTTTCAGAACATCGTCAATATATGGCATGCAAGAGATGTTATACACGAACAGCCAGACCACAACATACATTTACCAGGCACAAAGTCTGTTCATGTTCGGGACACGACATCAACAACATGGAAACACTACAACACACAGCATATAACAATCACTCTGCATAATCAGAACAAGGCACTTACATATTCGAGTTTTTTTTTTTTTTTTTTTTGCAGCTGTGAAAACTAGGGCCAAGGTAACCGTGACGGGAGACGTGAGGTGCCTGGTAAGACTCGCGGGTCCACCAGAACGACGCTCTGGTTAATGGTGACTCGACACAATGTTCCAATCACAGGAGACACAATGACTTCTTCCTCACACACAAGAACATGAGAATGGAGGAACACTGCAGAAAGGCCTACTGGCCCAAACTAGGCAGGTTCTTCTCTTATCAACTGGTAAGTATTGTATGCCATTGTCATACTCACCCAGCTACTTCTCTAAGCCAACCATTCCCACCCACTCACTTCTCCAACCTTTTTCCGATACGTGGAACAATCTTCCGAGTAGGGTAGGGAAGGCTAGGACTTTGGGTAGCTTTAAAAAGAGATTGGACAAATATATGAGTGGAAGGGGCTGGGTGTGATTGGTGTTTGGGGTATGAGATTAAATTCTTAGGTAACATGTTGTGATGTTCTTAAATGGTTTGTAATAAGGACTTGCCTTGTATGGGCCAGTAGGCCAGCTGCAGTGTTCGTCCATTCTTAAGTTCTTCCCAAGAATTAGCTTCAATACACACACACACACACACACACACAGGACCTGTGCTGTTCTTGGCATATGTGAATGACATAACGGAAGGGATAGACTCAGAAGTGTCCTTGTTTGCGGATTATGTGAAGTTAATGAGAAGAATCAAATCGGATGAGGATCAGGCAGGACTACAAAGAGACCTGGACAGGCTACAAGCCTGGTCCAGCAACTGGCTCCTTGAGTTTAACCCTGCCAAATGCAAAGTCATGAAGATTGGGGAAGGGCAAAGAAGACCGCAGACACAATATAGTTTAGATGGCCAAAGTCTGCAAACCTCACTCAAGGAAAAAGATCTGGGGGTGAGTATAACACCGAGCATATCTCCTGAGGCGCACATCAATCAGATAACTGCTGCAGCATACGGGCGCCTGGCAAACCTACGGATAGCGTTCCGATACCTCAGTAAGGATTCGTTCAAGACTCTGTATACCATTTACGTCAGGCCCATACTGGAGTATGCAGCACCAGTTTGGAATCCACACCTAGTCAAGCACGTCAAGAAATTAGAGAAAGTGCAAAGGTTTGCAACAAGACTAGTCCCAGAGCTACGGGGATTGTCCTACGAAGAAAGGTTGAGGGAAATCGGCCTGACGACACTGGAGGCCAGGAGGGTCAGGGGAGACATGATAACAACATATAAAATACTGCGCGGAATAGATGAGGTGGACAAAGACGGGATGTTCCAGAGATGGGACACAGACACGAGAGGTCACAATTGGAAGTTGAAGACTCAGATGAATCAAAGGGATGTTAGGAAGTATTTCTTCAGTCATAGAGTAGTCAAGCCGTGGAATAGCCTAGAAAGTGACGTAGTGGAGGCGGGAACCATACATAGTTTTAAGGCGAGGTATGATAAAGCTCATGGAGCAGGTAGAGAGAGGACCTAGTAGCAATCAGTGAAGAGGCGGGGCCAGGAGCTATGACTCGACCCCTGCAACCACAAATAGGTGAGTACAAATAGGTGAGTACACACACACACACACACACACACACACACACACACACTCTCTCTCTCTCTCTCTCTCTCTCTCTCTCTCTCTCTCTTTCAACTCTTACCTCCGTCCAGCAGCAGTTAACAATCAAAGTAATGAAAGTGGAGAAGAAATACGGGATGGAGCACATCAGCCACGATTTTTATAAAGAGCCAGAGACACAATTCCTGAATTGGAACAACTCACAACCCCACAAATACAATTAAGACAAAAAATACGTATATAAAAATGACTATCACTGACTACTACTACTACACTATCACACCAGGAGAAACTAATGACTAAAGGTCACCTAATCGGACTGGAAAAAAAAAACATGGGGAAAGACTTCACGGAGGATGACAGGAAGATATATGTGGGAACCCAATCAAAAAAAAAGATTGCAAAAGAATTAGCGATGAAGAGAGGATGTTGACCGGAAGTGAGAGAGTTCCGGCTTCACCACATACGTGGTAACACCAGAAGAAACTGTGATCTTAAGTAGTTACTAGCTACTGATACCGATACTGTTACTAATATTACTACTGCTGCTACTACTGATACTACACTACTGCTGTTCCTATTAATACTACTAATATTACTGCAGCTACTAATATTACTACTGCTGCTACCGATTATACTGCTACTGCTACTAATACAGCTACTGCTACTACTACAGCTACTGCTACTATTACAGCTACTGCTTCTACTGCTACTACTACAGCTACTGCTACTATTGATACTGCTGATACCACTGATAATACTACTACAACAACAACTACTACTACCGATATTATCGATACTATTACTACTAACACTGCTACTGCTAATCATACTACCGATACCATTATCACTAACAATAACGATACTACCGATGCCATTACCACTTACGATAGTAATAATGGTAGTAACAGTAATACTGTTACCCGGTAATGAAGATATCAGTGACGCGTGAAGCAATCTCCGACACACGAGTGAATAAGATTTATTAACTCAGAAGAAAGTGAGCTAGCTCACTGCTCAGTCACTGTTGTGCATCTCTCTCACTGGTAAGTGATTCAGTGAGCTTACTGCTCGAACACTGCAGTGTGAATCTCACTGTATAGAGGTTCAGTGAGCTCACTGTATAGGGATTCATTAAGCTCATTGCTCGGTCACTGCTGTCTCACTGTATATTGGTTCGGTAAGCTCACTGCCCACTCACTGTTGTGTATGTCTCACTATACAAAGAAAGAGAGCG